AGCCAGCATGGGGAATTCTGGGAGTTGAAGTCCACCCATCTTAAAGTTGCTGAGGTTGAGGAACCCTGTCCTAGGAGATGAGTCAAAGGGTATGTGTTCTGCTGATGTGAAAAAAGGCAGTAGGAAATGACCTCAGATTAACCATCTCAGACAAAGAGCAGTTAGAGCAAACAGAAGGGACACCAAATAAATAATTACCTCTATATCTACATCCCACTGCCCCCTTGAGGTCAGGAGGTCAGAAAGCATTGAAGAGTTAATACCATTGGATCCACATCTCCAACAGGTATGTTTTTAAGGTGGTAAGGCAGGGATAGCCAACTGAGAGTTCCTTAGCCAAATCTGTCCTACAAAATCATAATCAGATTTCTGATAGCTACATTAAGCAAATACAGTTGCATTCCCAATTCTATGTGTATCTGTTTGTGCATGCACACTTTTGAATAAAGTGAGGAAGGAAGGAAAATCAATTCCACAAATTTTAATTTCAATACTATTTGGATTGTATATATGATACCCTGGTCAGTTTCTTCACTGCAGATGCATAGTGGTTCTTACATGTTATAGAATACATCTGCATCTTCCCTGACTTGACTTTGCTGAGGCGGAGAGAGGAAACTGTAATCTAATTGAAGTTTTGAAGAAACTACTTCTCTAAATCTTAGCATTGTGTACGGATTGACGTGAGGGACAATGCTGCATATTTTGTTCAAAATTGAATTTGAAAGGCAGGGAACTGTGTGTACTTACTGAAACCTAATCATGATGTATATTCCTGAGAATAAATTCTCTCTTCTAAACCTTCAGTATGCTACTGCCAAGCTTTGCACAATTTCTTTTCAGTCCAAAGGGGTGTATGCCCTAAAATTTGTTGTTTCTGCGCTTAGAGATTTAATATGATTTTTCCCTCTTAAAAGTTCATAGCATATATACAAATATCTTGGTTGATTAGTCATTGTGTAGGAAGGATTTTATGTGTTGCGTACTTCTTTAAACTGTCAATATTTTTTTAAACTCTGTGGGACATTATACTTATCCTCTCTGCTTTTGCTCCAGACCATTTTAAACTGATCCAGCTAGAGTTAAAAATATTGACTGGCTAGATGGTTAGCTATACTAAAGTAATGAAATATCTTCTCCCTTGACAAATTAACTAGTAAACTGAAGATGGAGAGAATGTTTTCTCTAACAAAAGTGGTTTTACTTACTTGCATGAATCATTTCCAAGGGACTTAATTCGCATCACTGAAGAACATTAAGTTATGGAAGGAATTAACCGGCACATTTCAAAATTTATTGACTGGAAAGAGACAAATAACCTAGGGCTCAGTCTAAGAAATGTTAAGTACTTCAAAATGATATTGGGTTGGATCCAAAGTTAGTCATAAGTAGAGTTGACTCAAATTAATGAGATTTAAAGCCCATTGGTTTAAATGGCTCCTTGCTAAGTATGAATAACTCTGGCTTCATTCCTTTAATTGGAATAGAAGAAATTAAAGCCCATGCTTAATTATCATATTAAAATAAGTGGAACTCAAAAATGTTTTATGACGACTGGATCATGGAAGATTGAAATCCCACATTACTTTGCCAATAATTTCTCCTTGTTTATTTAAAGCATGGATCTGTTCAAGGAGAGCCGTTGATAGGCGACAAGGATGTTGAGCCCATCAGCAGTAAAAAAAAAAGACTGGAGAATGTTCCGAGTCGAGAAAGCTTAGCAAGCTCTGGATTTCAGGAAGATAAAAGTTTAAGTGATATGGAGGAGGAAGAGGAGGGTAGGTATTAATTCCTTCCTCTTTCTATACAGCCTGTGTGGTTTTACAGTCATGCTCTGCATCTTTGAAATTTTCTTTCTCCATTTATCACCCTCATAAACATCCATGGGAGACACTCAGCTCCAAGAAAAGATGGTTTAAAATAAGCTTATTTACAGAATTCCTCAGTCAGACAGGAAGATGTGTTACTGTTTCTGTGGTCTCTTCCTTATCCAAGGGGAAGTGTTTGGTATATCATAAGACTTTTTTTCTCTCTCATTAGTGAACTAAGCTTGAAATGCTATAAGGAGAGTAAACTAGCTACTGACAGGATGAGGTCATATTAACCATTTCCATGTTGCATTGATTTCAGATGCCAGTGATTTCTACAAGTGGCCCCTCACCATGGAAGATCTTATTTCTTACAGCTTTCAAGTAGCCAGAGGCATGGAATTCTTGTCATCTCAAAAGGTTAGTTTTCCTTCTCTGCATTTGCTTCCAGAAGAGTAACAACAACAGCAATTATAGTAGTAGTTAATTAACAGGCACATATCTCCTAGTTAGTGGGGAATAGGCTGCAGTATGTTATTTTTTTTAGCTATTTATTTATTAGATTTTTAAACCCACCTCACTCCACAGACTCCAGGTGGTATACATAGTCAAACATGGTATAAAGCACAATCTAATTAATAAAAAAATAAAAACTGTAACTCATAAGAAATAATGGTGCAGTTCATCCTTTGGCTGCGTAATCAGGGCAGGCTGGAGCAAGCGCCTTTTGTCACTGGCGTCTCTGAGTTCTGAAGACGACAATCTGAAAAATGCCTTCGACCTATTTTGCTAAGAGCTTACTTGAACTCAGCTGTGGGTGTGTGAACACTGTTACTAATGAATGATGCTGACACTAACACAAAATGTAATTAACCAAGTCTTCTGGAAAAGCCAGATTTGAACTATTCTCTGGAAAGCTGTAAGTGGGGGCCATTCTTATTTGGGGTAAGCTGTTCCAAAGAGGGAAAAGCCAAGAATATGGGCTTGCAAAGTAGTCTTCGGGCTCTAGATTCTGGCTTACACAAAAAGAAGAGAGAATGCCTGTGGTACAATGGGCATTAGTTGCACTTATGGCGTATTGGCTCAAATACCCCCTGAGACAGTAGTCCTTATTGATGGCAGGGAATGTTGCGTTTGGCACAGGTACAGTTAATGCTCATAACCTACTTTACACCTTCTCTATATTAGTAAAAAGGTTACATGAAAGCCTTAATTGACCAAAGTCATGATGAGCAGCAGAGGACAATATGTATGGATCTAGTGATCATTTATTATGCTTTTTGTACTCTCTACTTAACACTGCTTTCTCCAGAAGGGAATAGTGTGATGGGTATGTATGTATGTATGTAAGTACATATGTATGCATGTATAGAACATTCCTCACATTTTTAGCAATCTTCTATCAGGTCTTTGAGACTCATGTTGCATTTTTTTAAAAATAGAAATTCTGTGCCCTTAATTGTTGTGTGACAGGTAGAAACCCAATGAGTATATATTTTTTCTAGACAAAACTGTAGCTTTTAAATTGTTTTGTATCCCACCATTAAATAGTAATAGCTAAAACATGTGAGTAGACTACACAATTTTGTTTATATCTAAATTCAGTGTTTTAGAAAGCCTCTTTTCCTTCAGACTTTTTTCACAGCCGCCCCCCCCCCCCCGACTTCAAAAACCCATATCTGTTTCTCACATTGACTATCAATGGAAGAAAGAGACATAGGGAGAAAAAGATTTTTTTCCCCCATTTGGCAGAATGGGATGAAAATTTGTAGTGTCCCTTATGAGAAGATAGAATGTACCAAGTATGGCAAAGGTAGTGCTAGTGACTTAAACATGTATAATCTCAGGAGGAATTTGTACATCACCATTTTAATTCCTTGCACAATTAGGCAGAATTTGCAAACAAAAATATGCCTGTACAAGAATTTTGTGTTTCATGTGTTATTGCATGCCATTCTTCATTTGTTTTATATCATTTGTTTTAATGCTTTCAATTAAATCTGCATTGTTATCCATCTGGAATTTAAGCAGAAAGATGTGCTAAGAATATACTTTTTAGAAGTATAAATAGAAATTATTTTGAGCATCCAGCTTTTCCCAAGCAGAGTCATTAAGATATCTTGATTGCTGACTTGCATCACCCTTAACCAGAACTATTTAGTTCAATATGTTTGGAGGGAATTAGAGAGGAAAGGTCATTTTAATGAGTCAGGACCTCCTTCACAGAGGAACTCTATCCTTGGGAAAATAAATTACTATTAAGCCAGCTTAAGCCTGCAATGTTTGGAAATGTCCCTGAAGAATCAAGAATCATATTTTAAAAAATAAAATAGAAGCACCTATTGGAAGAAATGGGATGTTGCATTTCCTAGGAATTTGTCTGCCTGTATAAAGATGATGGCTGCTGACAAGCTAGTGGGTTCTCTTCTGTGTTACTCGACTTAGTTCTGTGTTATTCATGGATATTACAAAACACTAAGAAATCTGTGAGGCAGTGACAGTTTTACTCACTCACATTTGAGAAGAAGGGAGACATAAATAGTAGTTTACTTTTTTGAGGCCTTCTATAGATGTACAATTTAAATTCATATTTAGCCCTACTTAAGTTAGACCCATTGAAATCAATCTCACTGATTTTGAATGAGTGTAGTCTAAGTAGGACTAATTCTAATTTCACTTTATATGAATTAAGGACAAGTGTAATAAAATGAAAGTTTACATACTGCAGTGAAGGCTGTAATCCTTGGAGGGTAGATTTAAAGGCTGCTTAAGAGCTTAACATCTGACTCCATAAATATATGGAGACGTGGCTGAACATCTGTAGCTGGTCAGTATAGTTCTTTGGATTTTCATATAGCTGCAACTGCAACATCACACAGCTGTAATTAGGTGTCAGTGGTGGACTTAACATTGTTTTAAAAGAATACAGATTACCACCTTCCCATATTTAAAAGCCAGTGTAATGTTTTTAAATGGTTACTGCATAATTGCTTACAGCTACCAGATCTAGGCAGTAAAATATGAGTGACCGTGAGATCGTAATAAAGAGATGCAGGAACCCTATCTCCATGATGCCATTTTATGGTTGTTCAGAGTTCTGCAGCCCCAAGATAATATCCTATTATTGTTGTGTGTCTGAACGAACACCTATATTCTGCCTTGTGGTCATTTAGCTTGCCTCTCAGAACACCAGTCTCAGAATTTCTCCGGATCACTTTAGAACTACCAGATCTAAGCTCCAGACATTGCATGCAGTAACAAAAAAGGCAAACCTTACGTCATGTTGGAGAAACGCTGCTTTTATCATTTTAACAAAAGTCCTGGATCCTCAGATACCTCTACCATTCTTCCTTTCAATCTTTTTCAAAAGTCTCTTCTGGCAAATAACCTTTGATAGCAAAATGTACAGTGCCTGCATGTAATTAAAACAAATGTTTATTCTTGCTCTATTTACCTATCTCTATCGTGTACAGTTCTCTGCACAGAATTTTGTATTATTAAACCCTCAAGACAGACATGATTTGCTTTATGTTTTATTTAAAGCACACACACCTCATCAAGAAATCAATAATAATGGCATTATTATTATAACTGTGCGATCAACCATAACAATACAATAATAATAATGCCTTCTCACAGAATTATCTTTACCTCTCTCTTCATATTAAAAAATATAATGGAAGCTTACCAGACCAAACAGCTATTCTTGAACAAACAATTTCATATTCACTCTTCCTAATGCAGTCTGTCCCTTTATTAACCCTTTGCTGTTGACTAATAAGACATCATTTAAAAAACCACCATATATTTTGCCTGCCAAATCTAACAGTCCTCTCTTTTGGCCATTCCAAGGAAACCACCAATACATAGTTGATATGTTCTTGATAAATTATTTGCAGCTTTGAAGTGATTTAATTAATGGGTCAGAAATTGTAGAGGTCTAAGACAAATATTTAATTTCTCGAGTTCTAAGTCAAAGAAGAATTCGCTTCAGTTTTTAAATTCAACCAGCTGAACAAAATTTGTCTGTATCTAAGTAGTCTTCCATAGTGCACTTGGCAAACTAAATATATTAACTTTATAAAATGGTTGAGAACAAATAAATAAGTTAAATAACAGTCCCCAAATTGTACAAGTCTAAAATGAAAAATAGTTGTGATTTAAATTTTCATTTTGCCGCAGCTTAGCTTCTTGAATTATTATTTACCCTGTTTTCCTATTCAGTGCAGTATTCAAGACAGCTAACAGAATTTAACATAAATGACTCAAAATTAAATATTAAAAACATAAATTAACACCAGTGCTAAACAATTACCTTAAATGTATCCATTTAGGTTCAAAATAATATATATTTCATTGTATTATTAATTTAATTAGTACTTTAATTAATGACTTGTGTAAATTCTCCCTACAAGAATCTATGCAGTTGGACATAGCTGATTATATAAATAGACTAGTTCTAATTAATTTCATTCCAAGTTTCTATATTACATATGAAATTTGAGATCCTGAGAAATAATCCTTGATACAGGAGAGTCTGACATATTTCTACTCAGAAGCTGGCTGCAGATCTATGCACACTCATTTGGAAATAAGACCTATTGAACTCAGTGAGAGTCTGTGTGTAGAATCCAAAAACAAACATCTGAAATTGCTTAGCTGATATTCATACCAGGATTGTGGTGAGACCAGAGTCGCTGGGAGTCAGGCGGCATATAAATTTAATAAAGTATTGTTATTATTATTATCATGCAACTATTTTCTTATAGTGCATCCATCGTGATTTAGCAGCCAGAAACATCCTTTTATCTGAAAACAATGTTGTGAAGATCTGTGATTTTGGTCTCGCAAGAGATATTTATAAAAATCCTGATTATGTGAGAAAAGATGATGTAAGTTGGCATGCTACCTAGTATTTGCTCCTTTGTTTATCATTCTGAACAGCTCATGAAAATGCTCTTTCAATATTTACATTCTCTGCAGTTAAAAGGCCCCTCAAAGCACTGGTACTTTCATTTAGCGCAAAAATGAGCAATCCAGATGAGTTGTATACATTGTGATTGTTTGCATCCTCCATAACAATGCTCGGAAATGCTCATCAGTTCTGTTACTTTTTTAAATAGTTTATATGTTGATATTTATTTCTTGGCTAACCTTGCCCAACCAGCCATTGAAAAGGCTTAGAGCTAAGGCATGAAAGAACACAGATATTTGCTTTTTTCCACTGGGCCAGATTGGGGCTCTGATGGCATTCTAACACACCTTGAGACCTATTGGTTCAAGAAGCTGTTGGCTCTAGAGTTGTTGGGGTTGCACTTTGGAATGTATAAATAACATATTTGTTTAGGAAGCATGATATCCAGACATCCTTATAATTTAGAAGGTGGTACAAGGGGTACACTTTCTGGCCTCCCTCTTGCTAACACAGCAGAAGGCAAAGTATTGCTGCCCAGATCCAGAATTACCTATTTTCTGTTTGTAAAGTGTACCTGTATGTGTGTCCTGAGTTATCAAGAGGATTAATGTTGGCAACATTCCATTGATGCAATGTCAGGGTTCCCAGACATGAACAAAGCAATTTTAGAAGTCACACTGCAGTGGCTCCCTTATAGCATAAATCTTACTGAAATTCTCATAGGATACAAGATGATAGACATGGCTAAAATAGAATGAGTTTGGAGTTCAGTGGATTGTGGGAACTTAGCCATTGCCTAGCATATTGAATGTGATCCAAACCATTATGTTAGGCATTATATAGTTTGTTTGGACACAGCATGCTATGTGAACACAGCAATTGTGTTTTGTTAACCTGGATTTAGTATGCTGGGTGAACCCATTCAGTGTGTGAGATTATATTCTCTTGGGACACATTAGTTAGCTCAGAAATTCCAAGATGTTACCTAAATCTACATTCTCAGCGGTGCCACTACGACTTGACTAGATCCAAAGCCCTGGAGCTGGGCCAAGGGACAAATTTAGCACCACACTTATATTTTAAAAATGTTTGTGATCTACAGTCCAAGAAAATGTTAAATCTAGTTCTGTAAACACTTGCAGGATTAATGGTTATCTTTTATTGCAGGCACGCCTTCCTCTCAAATGGATGGCACCAGAATCTATATTTGATAAAGTCTATAGTACCAAAAGCGATGTTTGGTCATATGGAGTGTTACTGTGGGAAATATTTTCTTTAGGTAAGAAAATTGAAAGGTTAATTTACTCCATTCTTAGGACTTTGGAAAAAAAGTAAGAGCAAAGATCTAATCTGCAATCCTATACATGCTGAATTTCACCGAGTTCAGTAAACAGGTAAATAAATGTCTCCAGTTAAGTGCTTACAGTAGAGGACTGTACCTATAAAGGAAAATTAAATCCAGCCTTGATGATAGATAGATAGATACACACACACACATACACACACACACACACTGTATGTGTGTATTACTAGAATCTTTTTAATCAATATAAATACAGCAAAAATAATTACTGGTGATTTTATAATAGATTATTTGCAAGGATATTGTAACCATTGAACTTCAAATGGCAAATCAATGTCTTAGACTACCCTTCTCTTTCTGGTACCTGTAGATGAGTTAGGATTCAGAATCTCCAAATTCTCAGATGAGTCCTATCCTAACCTATGTGGAGGGCATAAACTGGGGAAAGGAATCTTCTACTATTAAATCACATCACTCACATCCTTTAAGATTTACAGTCAAGTGAAAAACAATCCAAACCCTGACCTAAATTCCCTAATTTGCTTTCAGTGCTATTCCATGGTTTTTGAATGTAGGTATATATAGGCTGTCTCTTAAACAGCAGTGTATATTCATTCATTCATTCATTCATTCATTCATTCATTCATTCATTCATTCATTCA